CTTAAAGATCTTCATTTACCGTCACCAGTCTTTTACGCGGACAGGTGATGGCTTACACTCAAAAGTGTGCTTTTTGCGTTGTTTCCTCATCAGAGCTCTTTCCTGTTGATTATGCTATGCCAAAGGATAAATGATTTTGTCGTTTCAGATTTGCCGGCATATGGCTGTGTTCAGACCCCTTTGTGTGTAAGTTACCTTGTTCGCAATCGAACACTTCAAGTCCAAGAAGTGGAGGTAACTGTAGAGCCGAGCGACGCGTTTATGTATTCTGGACATAAACAGGTTAGTTCGAGTGTATTTCTGTCTGGGTTGAGCTACAAGCAAGCTAGAGCAGTTAGCTGTTTTTATGCAGGCCGTAAATATGGTCACATGCTTCACCAGGTCATTGTTGCGTCGAAATGCAGCGTGGGACTATTTTTAAGGACGGAAAGCGACTAAGTTTCTTGCGCAAATTCATAATTGCAAATGAAAGAAGTGATAGCGTGCCATTATGCAATTAGACCCGATCTAAAGCTCAACCTCAAAATTTCTATTATGCAGTCCATGCATTACAGCAGTAAACAGGTGCGTATTGCGTACTTTAATTAATTGAATTTAAAGATAACCGGTTGTCCAAACGTCGGATAGTTCTATCCACTGGATAAATCACTTTCCACCGATAAGTATAAGGGAAACCAATTGCGTTATCCACTGGATGAAAATTTACCCGGTGAAGGCGCAATCCACCTTTTGAACAACTGGGCGCAGGTCGTTACCCGAAAGTCTCAAGATCCAAAACTGATAATTATTCAACTTACCCGGGTTCTGCCACTTTTGGTATATTACTGGAGCTAACTTTTTCTTGCTCCTTCGAAGTTAACTCTTTATTAATGTTTTTATTTGTTAGATTCAGTTTCGACTGCTACCCTCTGGTGATCACAGGCTCAAATTTAGTCTGTATCCTCTTTCACCTGGCTATTTAACCCTTCCCAAACTGCACTTCAATCTGCCTCGATTCCAGGTCAGTTGGGACGAGCATGCGCAGAAAATGGTTCCGTTTAATGTGTTTATCAAGGTGAGCATTTAATTTACCCGTTAAATGATTTTCATGGTCAAAATGCTCGGGTTCTCAATCCCTTTTTGAATATTTATTACGGATTTTATATCGTAATACGCTATTTTTCGGTGGTTCTGAGTTCAGTCCTTTCTTTAACTAACTCTTTCCTAACCTTTTAAGACTTTCTTAGTATGTACTTCTTTGTCAAGAAAAAGATGATGACAATAAAGTAAAACAATAAGTTTTATACTATGTTGCTGGAGATTCAAGGTTTAAAATGGTTTTCTGAAACTTCCTCTTCTAGTATGTTGCTTAAGGTGACTACAATACGTACATGTTATGCCCAGTACTCAGTAAATTGTTTTGTTTTGTTTTTCTTTTCGCAAATTCGATAATTCGCAGCCGAAGGGACGCGAGTTGGGTTCCTGAATAGCAAAGGCATTAGAGACGACAGTATGCTTTCAGGAAAGGAGAAGAAGTAGACACAAGGCATGGGAGGTCGTGGGCAAGGTTAACAATCCCAGTATCACGAATCCACAAATAGAGACTATATAGGGCATCGACATGTTAATATCCGTATTATATCGATGCCGGTTGATCGACATCTTGATATCGGGAGTCAGCTGAACGGAAAGTAGAAAAGCCAGGGAGACATTGTGGAGGACAATGGGGAAATGCTGGACGATGCTTGTGACGGGTATTCAGGGAGAGGACGTGCTGTAGTTCCACTTAGGATGATAAAATGAAGATCAGATTTGGTGCCAAGGTTCGAACGACCGAATTGCCGCAAGTGGAAAAAAAAATTTAACCACTGGATAGTTATTTTGCCGGCAAAATGCTTAACCCTTCCGCCCTTTGAACAACCGGGACGTGGATTAAAAAATAATCTTGCGCTTTCGTGGCTACAGAACAGTTTCACGCCGCCGCCATTTTCCGGGTTCAAGAAGGATCCCTGAAAGAAAGAAACCTGGGATTGTTTCTTACGAAAAGAGGATGAAAAAGAGGCATCTTCTCCCATTATAAATGGGGGAAAGTTTGGGGTATGGTGTTCTGGTTTTATGGTTTTTATTGCAGTGGAAAAACGTCTTTTGAAAGGTTTCTTGCCAAATTTCGGATTGGCGTCTTTTAAAATATAGTAAGATTTAAATTGTATAGTGAATAACGGGATTTCAGAGTGTTGATTATTACAGGCATTTTTTTCCTTGTGGAAGAAGGGAAAGGGGGCATATTTGAGACGGTATGGGATCTATGTGTACTCGAAATGCAACTACTATCTCTAGAAAGAGCATGTTTAAACATCATACTTGTACCCACGTTTTGCCTGGCCCTCCCTACTACGGTAGCTAAAAGGGAAAAGGGGCCATGGGAAAGAAAAGCGCAAGTAATAGAGTTACGATCTACTCCTCCATTCCTCCTTTGGCCTAATTAAAGGAGATTGCACCTAAAATTTTACGAGAAAACAAGACTCAAGAAAGTTTTGGAATCCAGAAAACAAAAGTCTGTTCGTTCGTTGAGTGTGACTGAGATAAAAGCTTAACTATTTCCCGACACGGAGTTTATGCAGCTGTCGCTCAATAATTACTCTGCCTTAGAGGAAACTGCCTAGGACACTGAGTAACGTTTGAACGACGAGCTTGAGTATTAACTCCCTTAGGAAAATACCGCCCTCTGGTGAGATCAGTAAACATAAGTGTCCATGGCAAACAAAAGGGTCTACATTTGGGGTAACCAGTGTTTGAATCGCGTCAGTGGGATCCCATTTCGTTCCTCGATCATACAAGCGATTGTACGGACTCCTGCACAGCAGGAATTCTTAATTGCGGGCGGCGGGGAGCATTGCATGACTCCCGCCAGACCTCACAAAGATTTAGCCAGAGCATCAGTCCTTCCTTAGGGGATAGGGGAGAGGCTATTTTAGGGGACAAAGCTGATTCTCTCCCTTGGCTGTCTCCCCTTTTCGCTTCCCTCTTCTCCTTTTTCCCCTGAAACGCCTCATACTCAGGCTAACAAAGATTCTGTAAACTGATGGTATACTTCAATAACACTAAAAACACCTCCTAAGTACCCTATTCCCAAATAATGTCGAATGAACGTTAAACCGCTTAGTGGAGTCCAAAGTGATCTGGAATATTACACAGGTTATTTTAAATAATTAATCGAAATTAAACTACACGTGTACTACAAACTATTACAAAGATGTTCCTAACGAACAATCAGGGCAGCTAATACACAGTTTACCTTCTGATTTCTTGGCTTTCTTTGAGTATGCGTTGACGCAAAAAGTCAGTGTAAAAAATCTCTTTTTTCTTATTGTTGCAGTGAAGGTAGAGAATTTACCTTTAACTGAATCTTTTTTCAGGGATTCTTTAAAAAATTCATCTGTTAGATATTTTCTATGCTACTCACCAGTAAATATATTGATATGCAAAAAGTCTTGACATATTTCACGACATGCCAATCTAATATAGAATAAAGTTTCAAAATAAATATAATTAAATACATTATTTGATAGTAATTTATATGTAGAGAACTTTCATTTTGTCGTCCTCAGGTTGTTGCATTAAAAAAGATATTCAAATTTGGTTGGATTCTTATATTCATTTACAGATTATCACAGAAAATAGATCTGAATAGTCTTTAAAACATGCAAGCACCTTCCTTTTCCTAACTTCTCTCTTGCCTCCGCATGACACCTTCCTCTCGGCTTTGTCGCGTGTCATGCGATTTTTCACGCGCGCTCGCGTTTATTTTGCTCGCTCTACTATCCTTGAGTAAAACGAGAGACTACTCTTCGTCTAAAAATCTAAGGCGAGTTTGTATTTCCACGAGTTCGTAGTTTTTATTTTGGTTTTAGTATCTTACTAAAACGTCCTATGCTCTCATTCGGCCGCATTTTTACCCGGGAATGCACTCCACTTCGCCTGAGCCACGACCCACGGGGTGGATCGAGAGCTCAAATACGAAAGAGGCTCGCTCTTGATTTGTCGGAAAATCAAGAGAAATCGGGTCATTTTTGCCATTTAATATTCGTTGATTCAATACATAGTAGAAACATGCCTAGTTAATCACTAAACTAACGAAATACTGAGCAAAGAAAACAAACTAAGAATAGCTGCTTTTCACAAAGTACGCAATAATCACGTATCCTAATAGCAAAATGTTATTCACTTGATTAGGGACTAATTTGCCTGGTTCCCTCTGTTTATAAGCTTGCAACATCACGGCATATTTAAGAAGGACTGGGTTCAAATCACAAATAGCACTCATCCTTCAAATCCAATGACTTGTTCTTCGATAAACAATGAAAAAAAAGAAGCGATCTGGGAGCTTTTGTTCCTAATTTAAGCGATACCCTTGCAAAGTAAAAACGCAGATGTGCAAACAAATTTTATGTCCAACCAGATACTCCTTCGTCTAATTAATAAACAGATCCCGGATTTAAGAATTTAGCATCAGAACGGGAACGTCAGTTGACAACGGCGCGCGCAAATCAAACAACTGGCTTGACCAATGGCAGAGCGGCAAATTGGGCACCGGAAGTCGTGTTTAGTCCTCTCCGCATGCTTTCCCGTCGTCAACTGACGTTCCCGTCCTGTTGCTAAATCAGCCTATTTTTGAGCGTGGCACGTCAACCAGAAGTGATCTTCTTGAGCAATGCTTTTGCCCAGTTTTTCGGGCAAAGTAAAGCCAATAGACACTTCGCAAGATGCAAGATTAAAATTTTGTAGTGTCAGGCACATTAGTACAGGAAATATCTCACTTCCGGTTGACTGAGTAGCGACTTAAATTTAAAGCACATTGCAATGGAAAAGGCCTCACTTCCGGTTGACTTGCGTGGCTCAAAACGCCTTTGCTTAAGCTTTCTAATAAATTGTCAATAAAGAGTACCTTGGTAAAATTCTAAAATAGAACCTTTAAAGTAAAACTGGTTGACCAACTCAAGTGTTTTATAGTTCTCCACTGGTTAAAAGTACTTCCTTTTGGCAGCAGACCCGTCAGGTGCCAATACAGGCCCATTTTTCACGCACTTGTACATCTCTTCAAACTCCTCCACAAATTTTTCCGTCAGCTTGGCGGGGTTCGAAAGTACAGCCTTGTCAGACAAAACGTTCATGCGTAAAGTACCCGCATAGCTAAACACTGTTATGGCCATTCCAGTGTCACTGATCAATGGGGGCCAGGCTATCGCGGTAACTACTTCTTTGCCATTGATCTCAAACGGAGAAAGAGGCCCAGGAACATTGCTAAGGATCAGAGAGCAGTGTCTGTTAAGCGAGAAGGATGAAAACCGACCAATGAACTCAGGCAGGCGACCGACTATGTGTGAATAAACAAACCCAAAGATACGCCAGTCTGAAGAGGCTTTTAAGTTGTCCATTCTTCGCTTGGTTTCCATGAGACGTTTCAATGGATCTGCCATGCTCACAGGAAGACTATACAGCAAGCCAGTTGAATGATTTTCCAGAGGGATGTTATCTTTTGACAAGACCTTGAGAGGGCGAGTGTTGATAGTGACGGCGATCTGGATATCCGTAGGATTTTCCTTAATTCCCTCGGAGCTAAGGTAACGGCGTAATGAGCCGGCCAAGCATGTGGATAGGACATCGTTCACGGTCGTGCCTGGGAACAGTAGGTTAGTGCGATTAATTGGCCACAATCAAAATATTCGAGATCAAGGGCATGACATCCATGCTGTTGTCCGATACAATTATAAAGAAGTTTTCTTACATGTTAATAGATAACACAAAGAGATAGTGAAAGGGTATTTTTCTTAAATTGTTCTGTTTATACTATGTCCAAATTCTGGCAACTTTTATCACTTCCATTCTTTTTACTTCAGGTTAATTTGATATCGTAGAGTCATTCAACTTGCCGTGAAAATAATTTTAGTCTTGAGTGACTACCTATACTATTGAAGCCCGGACAGGAACTCCTAATAAATTGGAGCGAGTAACGGCCGGGGGTTGATACGAGTTTAATTCAGTTCCCCAGCACGCTTTTAAAGGGCCTGTGTCACGGGAGTCCAGTTCATCATGTTAATATTGTTGTGAAGTATTTTGGAAGTCATTTTTAAGATCTGTCTCATTTTGAGTTTCGTTTTTGTTACATTAAGTGGGTCAAGGTTAGTCTGGATTTTGTCCGCATGGGTATTTTCCTGTTTTGATCCTTTATTTTTGCTTGTACTTGAATTTTTGCTTAGCTGGCGAATTTAATTAATGCCATTTTAGGAATATCGTTTGGTAGCCTTTGTCAGATGTGAGTTTTTCATAGGTGATCGTGTCAGTGATGTTAGAGCAGGCCTTGGTTCATAAGTCCCACTGAGGCTCCTGTTTACGTTTGTTAACCATCGTTTTAGTTTTGCATTGGTTGGCAGTTTCTTGCCGATCGCAACCATTAAGGTTCAGTAATACCAAAACATTACCTTCACCCAAAGATATATTTGCGGCAAATGAAACATTACTAAATTACCTGTTTTGTAATAGAACTATCTAAGGTAGTCTTTCGCCCCGGAATAAGACAAACAAAAGGTTTATAACTAGAAAAAGCTGAGTCTACTTTTCAAGTTGAGTCATCAAGTCTTGGACCAATTGTCTCCATCAATTCACTAAAAAATATATCCTAATTTTTGCTCCAGTTGTGCATAACAAAAAGGTCCACTTGAAAACTCCTTGCAGAAAGATTATCATTATTTTCCTTGTCATTACCTGTTTTAGTCTTGATTTCCTTAACAAGCTCAAGGTCAATTGGTTTTGTCCAGCTGAATCGCTTTTCACCTGACAACTTTTTGGCGGGAAACGGATTGTCTGCAGTGGATAGCGCTACACTCAGAAGAGCCAACGGACCTGATAGAATAGTCTTCCATACCTGAATACAGAAAATAATATGATTTTAGGTACGGTTCGGCAAAAAATGGTATGTTTTTTTCGGTATAAAACAACGGTTAAAAGGCTTTCACAACAGCCAAGGTACGAGGAGCTTGATCCCACTTAGGGCACTACACTGATCTACATTGCATTTTCTCCCTAGCTCGGCAATATTTATATTTCCAGTTTTCAAGCGCCCACACTGGCTTACCCTGTCTACAGACCCCCCCGCCCCCCTTTCCCCCTCCTCCACTCAGGAACAATCGGACAAGGGGCTTCTCCGATGTTTCGTGATGGGAGGGGGAGTTTATACACAGGCTAATTAACACCGGCTGCAAGTTGCAGTTACCATTCAGACTTTTAGCACTCGTTGCAAGTATTGGTGTTGCAAGTGGTACCGGCTTTACTTTTCCTAACGGCGGTTGACTGGTGGTTACATGCAGTGCCGGATCCAGACCTTGAGATAACGGGGCGGGCGGTCATCCGGACCCTTAGATAAGGGGTAAGGGGGGGGGGGTTCGGTCTCCCAAGAAAATTTTTTCGGCCCTTCGGTCCTCAGTTTAGTCTAAAAATAAGGGGGTGCAAACCCCCGGGCCTCGGTGCACTCTATTCTTCAAGCTTACCTGTTTCTGTTTGTCACAAGGGGTAGTCACCGGTTTTTTGACGCGCAGTAGTTCTGGCTTCTTATCCATCAGCCTGCAAAAAAGGCCAATCAAGGCAAAGGCATCTCCTATAGTATGGTGAATTCTCATACAAATGGCTGTTTGATCCTTTCCTGGCATGTCCATAGGCGTCACTATAACCTCCCAAGGAGAGATATCATCACACATAGCTGACGAGAACTGTTCACTAAGCACTTGTTGTAGTTCATCTTCACTGCGCGGAGCAATACCATCGTATTTAAACACATGCTTCTTTATATCAAAATCCTGTTCGTCTACCCATACATAGCGCCAGTATTGTTTGACGACGCGTTTACGCATACGTGCGTAGCTGGGTTCGTCACTGTTTTGGACCACACGGGAGATGATGAGCTTGCGAAGGTCATCCAAACCAATTTCCCCCTCCAACACGAACAGTCCATTGATATAGTTACGATTGATCTCCGTCTCGTGAAGGAATGGTACGTCATTGCTCGCCAAAATTCTTCCCAGTTTATAATAGGAAATGATGACTCCTTGGGACCATTTAAAAACTCTGAACAACAACCATAAGGGTAGGGTAAGAATCGCAACCAACGTCCACACTAAGATGGCAGAGAAACACAACAGGCCGTAAAGGAAAGACGGAGCGATCTCCATATACTTGGAATAAAGATTCATGGTGATGTGATCAACAAAGATTGGCTAAACTAAGATGTGACGTCACTTTCTGCAATACGAAAGAACCAGGCAGTCAGATATCATATTTTAAATGACGAGGATTTTATCTGACGAACTAATCGTAAAAGCTGAGTTTTTTATAGTTACACGCAAAGCGCGCAAATCTGCTATCTATATATGTGGGTCAGGCTTTGTGTAGACGTCATAAGGCGTCCGGCCTCCATCACCTCGCTGTTCCTTACTTTGACTTCATCGATGCTATCCGCTATGTTGGCAAACGCAGTAACCTCTCCCCCACCCCTAATGCCGGCAGATTCGAGCGTTTTTCGCATGATTGTTTCTGTTAGCAAAAATCTCTCGTCTGCAGGCATCCCTACGTGCTCTTAGCGCCGCGCATGGTGTCATGGGTGAGCTCTGTTTTCCTCGCCATAGAGGTCAGTGGGGCGAGGCAGTTATCAGAACACGTAATTTGGTGGATCAAATGCATTACTATAAGATGGAAAGCAAGACTTCCTCTAATACAGTGAAACCTCTATTAAGCGGACCCCCCATTAAGCGGACACCCTCTATTAAGCGGACACTAAGCCGGGTCCCGAAATTAACGTCTTATATTTCCCTTTATAACTAACTCCTATTCTGCGGAGACCTATATTGAGCGAACGCAGACACAAAAATTAATTGTATTTGGCTAATTTTAACACCGGACTGAATTGACAATAGTCGTATTGCATTACGTCCTTGAAATATCTAGTACTGTAGCAGCTGTAGTCGATTAATAAAGATAAATCAATACATTTAGCTTTCAATAAACTGTATATTAGACCGAAAGTCTTGCACAAAGTACAGCACAGCGTCCTTAGCTTCCTTAACAACATGGAACTTTATCACAACACAGAGTAACCGTTGAAACTTAATCGTTCAAAAACATTGCGCAATTTTTACAAAACTCTATTGGGCGGACACTTGGGAAGGTCCCGAAGGTGTCCACATAAAAGAGGTTTCACTGTACTATTCACTTTTGCGCAGCTGCTACTTAACTTTAGAACTATTGGGAAAATGAGTGGGTTTATTCAGCCCTTACAGTTCAAAGTGTGACCAACATCAATTTTCTCCTAGCGATATCATAGTAGGCGAAAGGTTATAACAATAAGAGAAAACGCTTTGATCTTCTAACAAATTCTCTCAACTTATCTTTCAATGGATCCTCGATATAACGAACGATTTTCTTCACCCAACTAATAGTGAAATATATGGAAAGGAACCTCGATATAATGAAACCTCGTTATAGCAAACAAATTTTCAGGTGAATTTTGCCAGTCCCTAAGCCTTTCGTTAAATCGAGGTTCCACTGTACAAGGAAATGTGTGGATGTCACTCTGGAGAATTTGTTTGTGGAATTAAAGGGTTAAAGAATTCTCGCCATTGTTCTCCGAACGATTTTCTTTTTCACACTATTCGAAAACTGACTCTGAATGGACCACCTAAGAACGATTCATTGACACGGCTATTCACATAACATCCCCGCCAACGTGCATAGCTTTCATCGGATCATTCCGCCTTGCCTTGATAGAACCAAGGAAGCTGGTATGTATTTCTACTTTGCATGTTGTTAGCCCGGTAGCAATATAAGGTTACTTCTAACCTTTCACTCTTAGTACTGAGGAATTCAGTTTAGATTGAAGAGAAAAAGAAAATCTTATTTCGCAATATATTTGGTTCCAAGTAAAAGTACTGATGAACAGGTTTTATTTGAATGGTGTCAAAATAGGCTTTCATCCACAGACTAAAAAGATATAACGGTGCAAACACATCTTCGTAGTTGTCATTTGACTTTTGTAGGGTTAACCTCTTCGCTTTGAATGTTCCAAGACCAAGCCTAAAAATTTGCACTTTTTGATCCCTTTTCTTTCTTGCTTGCTTTCAGTTTCTTTTTTCCTTAAAAAACTTCAGCTGAAGCTACAGCCAGACTCACATAACGTTGATTTTGACAGCCAAACTTACGGGCTTCGACTTAATTCAGCTGATATACAATACATGTGTTTAATTTTGGCCAAGTTTGTTCGGTCAAGCTGGATGGAAGCTGGCCAATTTTTTTTAACTTTTTTTTTATTGTCAAGGTCCATGAGAACAGGCGCGAAAAAGAACGAGGCCGACATTCAGGACGTTCAGTCATCTTGACTGAACAAGCGTGATCACTCAGGGTTTATTATATGGCCGAAACAAAATCTTTTCTTACGGTACAAGGCTGGCGATATTCCGAACGGGCAAAAAGATAGGACCATCTTTCCAGCCTGCGTTGCTGGCGGTTTTCATAGTGTTTGTCGACCAAACAAAGCAGGCTTACCGCTACATCTTTCCTGCCCGGGTGGCCAATCAGAACACTGGCCCCTTCATCTTGCCGGCCGCTCGCGGAGCCAGCCTTGTAATAGAGGATAAAAGATCAGAAGTGACCGGATGTGGATTCGAATCAAATTGGTGAAAATTCTTCTTTAGACACAACAGTGCAATATTTAGAGACTCTTAATACGTATCTAGAAAAGCAGACCTAAATAACCGGAGTGAGCAGAAATAACTTGAAAATTCTTAGTCTGGTATAGTACTGAGCAATATACCAACAAAGACTAACCATACTGGCAAGAAAAAAAGTTGCACGATACTGTAGCTTGCCAACGGAAACCTACGAGAACAAATTTTCGTTACAGTTTGAAGACAAAAGGGTTGAGGAAAAAAACGAAACTCGACTGATTGGCCCTATTTTCTTTCAGAAAGAAGTAATCATGGTAATTTAAACCCATAAGGAACAATAAGAGCCATGTCCACCAGCTTTAAGCAGATGAAACTCAGAAGTGATCGACAGAGGAAATTTCATTAACTAAGAATTGTGGTCCTCAGTGAAAACAAAATACATTCGATTCTCTCTTAATGGGCACCCCCATGAGATAAACACCTCGGTAAAACGGACATCCAGATTATGCTTTTCGAGGGGAACATTGGGGTTTACGGTATTGCGGTATTGAGTTTTTTTTTCAAGCGGTATTTCGGTATTTTGATTTTAATGTGCGGTATTGCAGTATCATCTAGCCCTGAGGTATGCGGTTTTAAATCCTTTTGGCAAACGGTATTCGGTAAAAGAAGATCTTTCGCGGTATTGCGGTACCGTTCTTTTGCGCTCAATACAATATGCCACGCAAAACAATGTAAAATATACAGGTTAATAAATGATAGTTAATCTACAATGAATTGTTGTTCCATACAATGACCGGGCTTTTCGATCGTTGTAATGATAAATTCGAGATCTTACGTTTTCTATCAAGGGCTGAGGTTGATTGCTGGTGCATACATGCTTGAGATAAACAGACACGTGAGATGGATACAACTTCACGTATTAAAGCGTAAATGCGGCATCGATATTTCGTGGATTTTCGACAGGGTATTTGCAAATTTTTCTTACGGTGTTGCGTTATTGGTTACTCCCCAATGTCCCCCTCTTTTTCTTTACTAGCCTGCATGGCGGGCCCCACTAGTATCTCTCGCTCCTAAGACGCCCTTTCCCTTCCCTTTCAAACGCCTGCCGTGCTAGCCTCCCACGCAGACGTTCTTAGAAGAGGCTACTGCCATGCAGTCTATTTCTTTACCTATAAGACGGACACTTGGTTCCAGTCCCAAAGGTGTACACCAGTAGTTTAAAAATGCAGGCAGCAAAGGCTAGGCAATATTTAGGCAAGACTAAATAAATATCAATGCTAAAAGATTTTGCAGACGATCAATATACAAAAGTAGTATGATTGATCATATTACCATATGCACAGGTGACATATATAAGGTCGGTGTGACAACCACATGCATGATCAAGGGACAGAGTCCATGGCGCAATTGATGAACATTGGCTTTGCGTACAGGGGCGAATCCAGAAAATTCAGAAAAGGGGAGATGGGTTACTTGCTAGCTACGGGGAGAGAAATACGTTCTTTTCTGGTTTAAGAATCCCCAGACCATCTGTGTCGAAAAATTAAGGCTCCAAAGGACATAGTTTACTGAAAATTCGAGGGAGCCATGGGCGGGGCTCTTTTCCCAACCCCGCCCCCCACCCCCGGAGTCTTAATCCGCAAATGTTAGCACAGTATTACATACAAGATTGCATTGATAAATAATGTATACACCGGCCTTTTGACATGTCACTCTTTCACTTGTAGGAATTGTAAGATTTCTACATGTCTTGATCAGCGCCAGCTTACAGAACAGTTGTTTAGCATTTTATTCTTTTTCAGATTTCACAAATAAAATTAAAGATTTTTACGGTGTAAGTGAGAACGTGAAAAAGAAAAAAACGTGATCAGTATCAATCAAAAGAATGGCCATGAGCTGTGAGTGGTGGCTGTATTTGCAGGAGGCTGTCAAGTGATATTCAGCGTATAGCGTGTCTTGTTTATAAAGAACGCCGATCGGTGAATACATTTTGAATTCACATTGTACAAACGTGAATATCCTTCCATGTTTGAAGCCGGTTTATATCACATTGCATCAATGAATGAAAGCCGAGGGAGCACGATCGCCGTTTAGAAACGTCAACAGCTCTGATCTAAAAAAATCACGTTCTGGGTTAAGCCGGGCTAAAACTAACCGGCATAAGACAATAAACACGACAAACTGTTCTAACTACATCATACCTGAATGAAATTTTCAAAGGCCAACGAAGATGTTCAAATGTATGCCATACAATTTACGTCTCACTTCCCGAAAAATGGAGAACGATTAGGGTGAATTATTAACGGGATCAAAGCAACAACAAATATACCTACCCGGAGAGTATCAACTTACAGAGAAAACAGCAAAGCATTTCCGCTCACGACTCACCACCGGAAGTTCCTTTTTTAGCTTATCAGTTGAAATAGTATACTCGATATTTTCCCAGATATTATTTATTTTCTCTGATATTTTCCTATTAAAAAAACCTAAATTAAACCTTTTTCTGGACCTTAACCAATTGCTGCATGCCCTAAGGTATTATTCGATTGATCGTACTTATTCTTCCAGAACCGGGATCCAGCGGGGGGGAGCCTGATCCCCCGGACCCTCCCCCTGGATCAGACCTGGCTTTATCGACAGGATCGTATATCACTTTTTAACTTGGCTGACTTTTTTTAATGAAACGCGCGTTGCATTTTACCACCACAGTAAACGAAATTTCCAGGGATAGCACTTTTATTAGCGAGCTTAAGCAACGACGACGGGAACGGCAAAAAAGCGATAGGTTTCATTGACAAAACAACAACTTGCACGTGCATCACGCGTTTTTGTACATTTCTTTGCTGTCACTGCACGACTTCCTAATTTAACGTTTTATGGAGGACGTGAACACAAGAACGAGACAACGATTTTCTTTTTCTTTTTGTGAACTTAGAGACAGTCCTTTAGAATTCAACTCCCGAAAAATCGTCAACATTTGACAACCATTTGTTACAACCATTTAAATCAATGTCGCAACATTGTTGCAAAGCTGTGTTACGTTAAAAATCGTTGTTGCGAATCGTCCCGTGTAAAATCACCTTAAGCTCCCTAATCTTTTGAAATAAACGTCCGTGGGGGCATATCAGGTACAAGAGCTTTATAAAAGATCTAAGATAACTAAGACGACGTTAAGGAAACTGGAATCTATGTGTAATCTTAGTGCGGCATTTAGGACTGCACAAACAGAGCAAATGCAAGGTCAGGAAATCTGGAGTGTGATTTTTGAAAGCAAGACTAGGGCTAAAAACTTGAACAAATCTCAGATCAACCCTTTCGCGAAAATCACCTTTATTAATTAACAAGTTTAACATTTACAAGCACCATCAGTTGTCATGGTAGATAAATAGTCACTTGCCTTACACGTGTAACGTACACTACTACTATCCCTTGAGAGGGCATGTTAACCCATCACTCTCGTACAAAGGCTTGCCTGGCCTCTAAACAACGGTAGCTAATGGACAGTGATAGAGTTGATTATCTTTTCTCTTATTCCGACTGCAAAGTCATTAAACAAGATGGGCACTACTTACCCCTTACCCCTTATTCACATTAATTTCCCAGCTCCTTAGGTCATGATCAACAAGACTCAAGGAGGTTTTGATACCAACTGACAAAGCAGTCTGATAAGATGACATTAAGTCAGATACAAGCTTCACTATAATTCCTTCACCAATATAATTCTGCTGTCACTTAGTAACTGTTCAGTGTCAAAGGAACCTGCCTTGGATAGAGTGACAAGCTTGAATATGATCAGGGAAGAAACAGTACCTTTGTGACATAAGTCCACTTAGGTGTATCTGACAAACAACAACAAAAGGCTGTAACTCTGGAATGTGCAGTGCTTGGATCTTATGCTCTTGTTCCTCAATCATACAAGCAATAATATTGTAAGGAATTCAGTCACTTTAGTAATTGTGAGTATGATCTAGACCCCACAAAGATTCTATGAACTCTCAATATCCCTACTCCAAAGCAATTATCAAAAAAAAATGTTAAGACACTCAATCAGACACTATTAAGTATTCAATCCTGCTTAACTACCATGACAAGCGCTACAAAAAATAAAACCAAGAAACTTCTTGGAGTCCAAATTGGTGTGAAGTCGCATCAAGGCATGTAAGGATATGTACTTTCAAATTACTTGGACTCCAAGTGTGCTAATATAATGCTCTAAATGACTATAATTAAGGCTAGTACAGCTAGCAGCCAGTCATATACAACAATTTTATTAAGGATGTGGTTTAGAAATCATAAACTAGCCTGCCTAGCCGGCAGAATTGTTTCTGCGCGTGAGAGTTTTGGTGGCATCTCTTCCCCATTCTCCGACGTCTTTGCAGCATTTTCTTCCAAAACTTCCCTCGAGTGAACGTTCCCACCAGCTACACAGGCTAATCACAGTTTTACCTCCTCAATTCTATCCAACATTGTTATAACTGTAGGTAGAAGAAAAACTGAATTTCTTTGACGATGCATCGATGCCCAAAATGCCATAATGGTCATAATATAAATAATATTTTCTGTAGGTAAGGTAAACTAATTTTCTTTTCCACATCCCTTGAAAAATTCATTTGTCAAACATTTGCCATTTCTAAAGTAAATAAATAACATGCGATCACAATAATTATGGTGTCAAAATAACATAATATAATAAATTAAATACATTTGGTACTAATTTATATCTTCAAAAATTCCTGAACTTTCCTTTTTGCCATCCTCAATTTGTTACATATTAAAAAAAGAATAATCAGATTTGGCTGGATTACTATATTCATCTTCTGATTACCACACACAGAATAATCTTTAAATCATGCAAGCTCCTTTCTTTTCCGCAAGACTCAGGCCAACCTAAGACATTTAACCTGACCACTAAAATTAAAGTCTTACTGGTGACCCATCTCTATCCATGCCTGCATGGTTTTCTTTGGGTTTTGGTTACTGTCCAAACTCCAAAAGGTATTTTTCTTTCGTTTAGTTGCATATTTTTCACCAGGGCAAAATTTGTTTTAAAGTTCTCACTTGAGCCATACCTTCAGGGTTGGTTGAGAGCTCAAGCACAAAAGAGGCCTGCTCTTCAAATGTCAAAAATGGGTCATTTTTGCCATTTAACATTCATTGCAGCCTGCATCGCAGACTCTCTATACCTCCTGTATATACCAGTGGTTCTAACAATACATGGGCTGGCTTCAACACAGGCTACATTCATTGATTCAACACATGGTACACACATGCTTCTGCACTTACCACGCAAGAACAAAAAAAAAGTAAGAGTTGCCTTTCAGATGAAGCCGTGTCAGCAAGAGATCAAGTATCCTAAAGTAGCATAACTAATCAAAATACAGTATTTACTTGACTAACACTTAAAGCCCCAATATCCAAATATAAATTCCAGAAAGGGATAAGAGAATTAAACATTTCCCTTCTGTGATCATTTTCATTAATTCTCACACAACACTCTCTATTGATTATGAACTGATATTGGGAGAAAATTGATGTTCATCACTTTAAAGGATAAAGGACCAGTCTGCCTCTGCATCCCTCTGTTGTCAAGTGTACAAAGAGCGTTCCCATAATTATTACTTATTCAAGGTAGATATATGTACAAGGTTTCACTAAGGATAGCATACATCTGTACATTTCTTAAAAGTAAATGAGTCATTCTGTGATGGACAACAATATTATTAATGAATAGTGACAGTGATATGCTTGAGAGGACAAAGCTCAGACGTGCACCTCTTCACACTAAAACAAATGACAACCAAACTTTAAACTACGATCTAAACTAAAAATCTTTATCTACTTACTCCAAACTAATAATCCCCTTGCTAATTAAAGACCACAACCTGGATTTCAGAGCCATTTTAAGCTCAGCCCTCTAATGTCCCAAGCATTCTAATTAGAAATTATTGATCAACTCACTACAAGTGTATAATAGTTCGTCACTGGCTAAAAGTACTTCCTTTTGGCAGCAGACTCGGCAGTCACTAATACGGGACCATTTTTCACGCACTTGTAAATCTCGTCAAACTCCTCCACAAATTTTTCTGTCAGCTTAGTTGGGTTTGAAAGCACAGCTTTGTCGCACAAAACACTCATGCGCAAAGCACCCGCATAGCTAAACACTGCAATAGCCACTCCAGTATCACTGATCAATGGGGGCCAGGCTATTGCAGTAACTACTTCTTTGCCATTGATTTCAAATGGTGTCAGGGGCCCAGGAACATTGCTAAGGATCAGAGAGCAGTGTCTTTTGAGTGAGAAGGATGAAAACCGACCAATGAACTCAGGCAAGCGACCAACTATGTGTGAATAAATAAACCCAAAGATACGCCAGTCCGAAGAGGATTTTAAGTTGTCCATTCTTCGCTTGGTTTCCATGAGACGTTTCAATGGATCCACCATGCTCACAGGAAGACTATACAGCAAGCCAGTCGAATGATTTTCCAGGGGGATGTTTTCTTTTGACAAGACCTTGAGAGGGCGAGTGTTGATAGTGACGGCAATCTGGATATCCGTGGGATTTTCCTTAATTCCCTCAGAGCTAAGGTAACGACGTAATGACCCAGCCAAGCATGTGGATAGGACGTCGTTCACGGTCGTGCCTGGGGAGAGGACATAAGCAAGTGTTTGTTATGAATACCTGACGCAACATCCTCAGCACAAAGGGGATGGTTTTTAGTGGAATAATGGGAGTGATTTATATGAGTAATAAATCAATTGATTAATGATTTGTTTGATTATAATAGTGACACTTGAAAGCTCCTTGCAGAAAGATTAATATTTTCCTTGTTATTACCTGTTTTAGTCTTGATTTCCTTAACAAGCTCAAGGTCAATTGGTTTTGTCCAGCTGAATCGCTTTTCACCTGACAACTTTTTGGTGGGAAAGGGATTGTCTGCAGTGGATAGCGCTACACTCAGAAGAGCCAATGGAGCTGATAAAATAGCCTTCCAACACTATAAAGAAAAAAAAATAGGTTACAAAAATAATATTATTGTTCAGCAAGAAAACCTTGGATGTCTTTACCGTGTAAAACACTGGATGGACTTCTCAGGTATTTCCTCTCGTTTTCCTTTCTTGAAAGTTTAAAGGGTATCTCACAATGGCTGCAAGTTGCATATTTTCTTAAATATGATTCAACCTTTCAGGTGTTTGGTACGGGTACTGGTGGTTACATGGTGGGACTTCACTTTTTAGAAAATTTCATGATGTTGCCGGTAGAGCATGCCCCTGCATGTACATGTTTCACACAACCAAGCACAGATGATAACTCACGCCCCACCCAAGGTGCCCTCCAGTTTGACTTCAAGCTTACCTGTTTCTGTTTGTCACAAGGGGTAGCCACAGGTTTTTTGACGCGTAGCAGTTCTGGCTTCTTATCCATCAGCCTGCTAAAAAGGCCAATCAAGGCGAAGGCATCTCCTATAGTATGGTGAATTCTCATACAAATGGCTGTTTGATCCTTTCCTGGCATGTCCATAGGTGTCACTATAATCTCCCAAGGTGAGATATCGTCACTCATCGGTGATGAGAACTGTTCACTTAACGTTTGCTGTAGTTCATCTTCACTACGTGGAGCATTACCATCGTATTTAAACACGTGCTTCTTAATGTCAAAATCCTGTTCATCTACCCAAACATAACGCCAGTATTGTTTGACGACGCGTTTACGCATGCGAACGTAGCTAGGTTCCTCACTGTTTTGGACCACACGGGAGATGATGAGTTTGCGAAGCTCATCCAAATCAATTTCCCCCTCCATCACGAACAAGCCATTGATATAATTACGATTATTCTCGGTCTCATGTACGAATGGTACATCACTACTTGCCAGAATTCTTCCCAGTTTATAATAGGAAATGATAACTCCTTGGAACCATTTAAACATTCTGAACAGAAACCACAGGGGTAGAGTCAGAATCGCGAACAATGTCCACACTAAGATGGCAGAGAAGCATAACAGACCATAAAGAAATGAAGGAGCAATCTCCAAGTACTTGGAATAGAGATTCATGATGGTGTGATGAAGTGACAATTGGCTAGACTAAGATGTGAACTCAGTTCCTGCAATATGAAAGAAACTAGTGGTCAGAGAATACTTTATACTCTTCACAAAATCTTTGTGTCTTTAGATATGGGGCAGATACAAAACACAGACTCAGTCAACTAATCTATGAATAAATAAAACAATGCGTTTTATTGTCTGGTAAGTATGAAAATGAAGTGATCCCAATTTGAGTTTTTTACTTGTGTCTGCCTAAGCCCTATAAAAATATATCCAATGAAATAATCGTAATACAGTCTACACTGTATGCTTTCCTTTTGAACACACTGATAAGAAACCAGTGCTCGCTATGAAACCCTCTGATCAAGGCTGTTTAAAACGAAAAGCTCTTGTAAACTTCTACTCCGGTGGATGACCTCAACCACTTCGGTGAATTACCGGCTTGTCTTTCCTTTGTTTAAAAGTTCTTGTAAGCAACTACTTACTCAAAACTTGAAGTTTAACTTCTTGATGAAATTCAGGGTTATTCACAGCTTTCCCTTTAAGACCTACCACTCATTAAAGGTCCCGTGTTTCATTGAGAAACTATAGTATGCTAATAGCCTGCCTAGCCGGTAGATGTCTCCGCAGACGTTTCCGTAAATAGGAGACATCTACAGGAAGGCTATATGCTAATGAGTACATTAACCTAACTCCCATCTGTACTAAATTTGTGATGGCTGTCAGTTTTATAGGACCACCAGGGTAGATATTATTTATAATTTAATATCTAAAACGTTTATAAAATCAAATGGCCAGACAAAGAAAATCTTTTGAAAAAATAATTACAACAGTTTCTGCTGAATATTACACAAGTAAAGAACTCTTAAAATGCTAACATACACTGTGCTTATCTGTATTTCAATATAAGCTTATATTACATGACTTGTGTCCTTCCTCCATCCCAATATCTATGTTGCAGTTAATTTTTTTTCTCACGTAATTTTTATTTTTCCATTGTTTCAACTTCATTAGTCATAACCAAAAACAAAAGAAAAGCAAAAATTACCTGAGATAACAGATTAACTGCAACATCTATCAATAACTTTTAGTAAGATTGACGTCTTTCGATTCAAAGGGAAGAATAGAATAGATAGCGCGAGAAAGCCTTCAAAAGTGTTTGGCAATCTTCAGTCTATCACTTTAGACAGTTTGGGAACCTTTACTCAACTCGGAGAGTTTGTCTTTATTTTAGAACTGGCTGCAGTATAAAGGTCAGTAGATCAGACAGCAGCAGGTAGAGACAGGAGTGTATTTTTACTGGAACATCTGAACCTATTTTAATCGATGACGAACAGCAAGAGTACTAGGGGCGTGTTTTGAACATCATTCATTTCAAATCTTTCGAGAAAATCCAGTAATCTTAAAAATATTACGAATTTTTAATTTTCCCGTCAAATTTCGTGTTATTAAGCAAAGGTAACACACGGTGTGGGGGAACCAGAAGTAGCATAAAAAATTATCGGAACATTGACTCGCCGCCATGAATGGAACAGTTTCACACGACGGCTTTCTACTATAAACCGATGAACAGTTTTGTCTCACACTTTTAGAATAAAATACTGAAATAAAAAAGGTTAAAAAGATGAAACGAACGTGTTCAACAAATTATCAATTTATAATAAGCTAAAATTGATAACGTCTTGGCATCTCGCCGGTCGCCGGTATTTCAACTTCATATCGGAAACTAACCTGAAACTGTAAAATTACCTCACGGTTAGATAACTTTGAGATCTGCCGAAATAATTTCCTCTTGATTCCTCAACTTAATGAGGAGAGAACAATTTTCCAGACATTGATTTCTCAGTTGTGTCGTCTTTATCATCATGGTGATGGTCACGGCACTAAAACAAAAGCGGCATGTGTCATGTGATCATCTTAGCACAACGACCTTGAATGACCGGGAAAGTAGCGAAGTGGACTGGATAGGCTCCACTGGCGGACGGACTGTCTACCCGCGAACCTGGACATTTCGAACCGTCCTCAACGGAAACATTGAGGTCAGAGCTAGAGAAAAGGGGTCGTTGAGTAAGGAGGTAGCCTTTTTAGAGAAGCTGAAACAAGAGTGATTGTATCCGCGGAGCTGGCCATCCACTTTTATTTTGTATTCTCTAAGAAATGCACTGTGGGTTGCCTCTAGTCTGCGTACAAACAGGAAAGGAACGGCCGTACAAAGGCTAAGATTTAACTACTACGTTACTCCACAGGATTTTTCCCTTAGAAAATGGGGATCATTTTTCCCTTTCTGGGAAACTGCCCACCTACCCCTCCCCTAAGCCATCATTTTGCATTAAAGGTGTACATATTAATTTGGTTTTCTATAGAGTGTTTTCACTCACGTGGCCAGCATATATGCAAATTTATTGGAACAAAAGAAAGCGTTTGCATAAGAAAAGAGTTAAGGTATTCCTGGAGGCTAAAGTGACTGTTTCGGATTGCCATAATTTTTTAGCAGTGTAAAGGCAATGTCATCAGGATTGGATTGGAATAACAACATGGCCGCCGTTTCATTGTTTTGGGACACCAATGTGGCCGCCGTGAAGTCATGTGAAAACACTCTATTTAATTTTACGTGCGGTAATAAAATAGTGGCAACGTACAGAAGATCGCGCGTAAACGTAAAAGTAAAAGTAAAACGTAAAAGTTGAGCGCAACGCACGGCCTTTTATACACGTAAATTTTATGCGCGTAAGCACGTAAAAATTACGAAACAGTCAAAATCTACCTTAATAACTGAGTTTCTCAGTCGGGCGCAAAAAGGGATGGAGGCAAAAAGGATCATCTTTCTTGCAATCCAGAGATATGAGTGGTCAAAATCTTTTTATGGCAACATTTATCAACCGAATCCACTTATAAACCTAATCCCCATCTGTGTTCCATCTGTGTATGTAGCCTGCATTCATTACATCTGTACCCTGGGTGCCACGTTTCTAGCGCGGTTTCCGGTTTCTGTCAAGTCAGTTTATAGTGACGGCTTCGCCGCTCGTGGCTTCGGCCTTCGGCCACACCCAAAATTCCCGCCGCACGCGAGAAAAACCTCTGTTACCCAGGGTATTACAACTGTTGTATAATATTTAAGTTTATATTATGTAATCAAATGTCGGGCCTAATCAAAATTTCTACTTAACATTTTATACATGACAACCTGGAAAATGCGAGATATAAAACATATTTAATACAAACTCCAAATCAAGAGCATTCCTTCCTTGAACCACTAGCAGGCTACATATTATTACACGACAAAATTCTCATTCCAAAAATGTACAGCCAACATTTATTCTACCATAATCGGGCGAAAATTCCGTCAAAAAGTGTTCGGCAATCTCCACTCGCTGTTTTGGCCTGTTTGGAACCCTAATGCCTTACTGAAAATGTTACTTTATAGAGGGCTTACCATTTGGGCAGGCGAGACCAGACAATAGTTTACTCGCTTTTAGTGAAAGAGCCGAACTTATGTTTGTCGATGATTGACAACCAGTGGTGTTTCGTACATCTACTAATTCAAAATTTTCGAAAAACTCAAGGGAAAAGAGTGAGTAAAGAAGTTTATTGTACACTTCCCTGCGAGGCTTTTCAGTGATACAAGACAAAGGTATAATGCATTATAAAGGTAATTTTAAGAAATACCGTAAAATTCCGAAAATGACCCCCGGGGCTTATATTTTTCAAAGGCCCTTTTGGAGGGGCTTATTTTTGAGGAGCTTATATTGGGAGGGGCTTATAAACGGAGGGAAATTTGCGTTTCAAAATCGGCTAAGTTTATACTTGGAGGGAAATTTGCGTATCAAAATCGATTGGGCTTACTTATAGTTGGAACGAAATTTAAGTCAGTAATTTGCAGAAAGGTTTTCCTGAAACTCGCGTTGAGGACGTAGACCTTTCTAGAACGCAGCCATGCAAGTACTAGTATGAACCGAGGAAATCCAAGCCAAAAGTGAAGAGTGTACTACGCAAACAACAATTAACTGTGACACTTTTTGACTGCAATCATTACCACACATAAAAGGTCTTTGGCAAATACAAAATGTACCGTTATTGCTTTGTTTTACTTTGTATTTGAGGGCAATTTGCAAGTACAAGCCCCCGGGGGCTTATATTCGGAGGGGCGATTTAACGGAGGGTTTTTTTGCGTTACGAGTTTGGGGGGCTTATACATGGAGGGGCTTATTTTCGGTATTTTACAGTTTACATCTACTTAGTACCTAAAAAAGAGGAAAAACAATTACCTGTTTCAATGGTACAATGTTAAAACCTACAAAATGCTCGCGGGATCAAGAAATTTCTGTAACAGTATTTGCCTTACTTTCTGCTCCACTAATTATCCGGGCGGCAAAGTTCTGTACGTGTTGCAATTTACGGATGTTTCTGTCTGAAGTATTAGACCAGACCGCCGAGCAGAAAAATAAATAGTGAAATGAAATGTGTTGTTGCCCCCAGTTTTCTGGATTTCACTATAACAAGTGAATTTCACTAGTCTGTGTACAAGCCGGGAGGGAGATACTTTCTATTCATAAGATTTTCAGGGAACATCAAAAAGCGTATTAAGTCCATATGAACGCATGCCTTCGCGCGCTGACTGGTGGAGCTATTCCTTGAAAACAACGTGAAATTTAAAGAATCGTGCGTTTTTTAGTCTGGTACCCAGATCTCATCTTTAGACTTGCCTTACTATCCCTGGCCTGTTCCAGGTCCTAGCGGGGGGAGGGGGGGGGAGAGTTACTGCTAGGAATTCTTGGTGAGGGTGTGCCGCCCGGTTTCCCAAATCCTGACCTATTTCAGACCAAAAAATGCCATTATCCACAGCCGTTGTCAGACCTGGCCTCTAAAACCTACACCCGTTTTCAGACCTACATAAGCAGAAATTATGTCATCATTACTTAGATTAGAATCTCTCTTTCTTTTTCATCTGGAATTGAAACGACAAATACGTTCAAACACTTCCGTAGTCCCCACGAAAACCGCACCCGATT